ATATACTTATTATTATTTATAAATTACTTAACTATTATTTACTAAATTTATTATTAATTATATCTATTTACATTATTTACAGTTATTTATATTTGTTATTATCAGCTATTATTTATTATTTTATATTATCATTTATTATTATTTATAATTATGTACTTATTATTTGTTATGAATTATTTAACTATTATTTATTAATTATAACATTTTCGCACTTAATTAAAACTATTAAACGAAACACGCATAAAATTATTACGTGACAAATTATATTTTAAGCAAAAATTTTAAACAGTTAAAACAAACAACAATTTAAGCACAATTTCATTTGAACTATATTGAAAGTATATTATGGAAATTCAAAAGCTTTATAATTTTCATGATTCTTCATAATAAACAAATCTTGAAAAAGTAAAATGTAAAACAACTCAAAGTAAGCAAAAAAAAAAAAAATTAACCCCTTCCTAATTTATGGAAACATTTAACATTTAAAATTTCAAGAAAATTTTAACATTAGAATAATAATAATAATATTAATATTAATATTAATAACAATAATAATAATAATATTATTATTATTAATAACAATAATAATAATAATAATTACAATAATAATAATAACAAATCATTTTATTTTTATTTATTACATTTATTTATATTATTAATTATATTTACATATTATTTACTACTATTTATTTATTATTACCCTAAACCCCAAACTCCATGGTCCCAACCCCTAACAAATTTAACTATTTCTTTCATTATTTCTTTCATTCACTAACAACCTCATTAATTCACTGACAAACTTAACTATTTCATTCATTCACTAACAAATTTAACTATTTCATTAGTTCACTAACAACCTCTTTAATTCACTAACAAATTTAACTATTTCTTTATTTCATAAACAAATTTAACTGTTTATTTAATTCACTAACAACCTCTTTATTTCACTAACAAATTTAACTATTTATTTAATTCACTAACAACCTCTATAATTCACTAACAAAGTTAACTATTTCTTTAATTCTCTTAGAAATTTAACTGGAGAATTTCGTATCAGCAATTTGCATTTCGTATCATTCTACCTTTGTGAAAATAATGGGCAAGATTTAAAGGCAAATCCTACACAAAAAATAAAAATAAAGTAACACACATGATGAACCAATAAAAAATAAATTAAATAACTTAAAATATAAAACCAATAAAATTTAACTATAAAAAAAAAAGCTTAAATGCTTGAAACAAATATGGTTTTTGAAGAAACAAAAGAAAAGGTTAGAAAAGAAAGGAAATTAAGTTAGGTTTTACGGAAGAAGAACACATAAAGAAAAAAAAAACATTGAACGTCTAAAACAGAAATTGTGATTAAGAAACAAAAAGAAACCTCAGAAAATGAATGATAATAACAGACATCTTATTACTTAAGAACAACACAAACTGGTTAAAGAGAAAAAAAAAAAACCTTGAATGCCTAAAACAAAAATGATGATTGAATAAAAAATGAAGCAAAATAAGTAAGACTTTACCGAAGAAGAAGACAATCTGCTTACTGAAAAAAATTCAGAGCCCGAAAGAAAAATGGTGATTGAAGAAATGTTAATGAAGAGTAATGGAAAATGGTTACAGAGAAAAAAAAATGAACACATGAAAGCAAAGCAAAAAAACTTAGGCCTTGTTCACTTGAGTGGATTTGAGAGAGAGTAATTGAGGAGATTTGAGAGGATTTGAAAATAAATTTTTTTGTTGTTTATTTGAGTCAATTTGGAAGTAAGTGAGAATGAATTTGGAAGTAAAGTTTGCGAGAATTAGTGTAGGATTTGATTGACGTGACAGATTAAAAAAATTTACTTCCAAATCTAATCTCATTTACCTCCAAATTCACTCAAATAATCAACAAAAAAAATTTATTTTCCAATTACTCTCCCTCAAATCTACTCAAGTGAACAAGGCCTAAGTGTACATGTTTATGGCTAACGAGAGACTGAGAGATATAGGAAGCGTGTGTGAACTTTATAGGTTTCACACAGAGAATGCAAAGATGAATTAAGGCCTCTTTTAAGAACTGATCGGCATGCGTGAATCACCTCACTTGCCACGTGTCATTCATTAAAACCTCCATGCCTTAGCTTTTAGGACATGTTACACTATTCTCATTTTTGTTTTTGATATTTTTTTTTAAGAAATTTTCTCATGTGTCAAAATTTTTCATTTGACATCGCTCTCTAATTATAAATATATTACATGTTATACATGAATTATGAGTGATAAAAAAAGGTTTAAATCATCGGTTGGTCCTCAATTTTATATGGTAATCTCAGTTGGATCCTCATTTTTGCAACTGTCTCAGTTGGGTCATATTTTTTGTAAAAATGAGCAAATTTTACCCTAACCGTTAAGTTCTCTTAGACGGCGTTAAATTTAGCTGAGCTGTATTTTATGTTTTGATGGCGTGGTATTGTGCATTCAATTAAATGGGTGATGTGTTTTATAATCATCAAATCCACGTGACGATGGTGCTTCTTCTTCCCTCTAACCACTGATCACCTTTCACCTCTTTAGCTCCTCCGCCCAAACTGCTTCCTTCCAACTTCCACCCTCAAACCCTCACTCTCCAACCGAGGGTAAAATTCTTTAGATTAAAACATTTTTACTGAAATAAGATTAGAAAAAGAGAATTAGGAATTTGGTCAGTGGGAGAAGAGGAATTGGAATCCTAGAGAAGATGAAGACAATCAACTACATTCTACCAGTCCGAAACCCATTAGGGTTTTTCGCCTCTCCTACCAGACCAATTGGAATCTACATCCTCCACTTGAAACCAAAAGGGAACCAGAGGAACCCAGAAGCACTCATCTCCTCCGCTCATGCGCGTCCGCCTCAGCCTCCACCCAATCGGCCGTCACGAGTCGTGGTCCAAGGCGTCGCCAGCATCGCCTACCATCGGAGGCATCGCCACCAGTCGCCGCCAAGCTCGCCGTCGGTCACTGCGCAACGTCACCAACAATGAAGGTGATTGGTCTTCGCGATGGTCTGATTCGAACTCAGATTTGGGGCTTTCTGTTTCTAATTTGGGATGAGGCGCGATGATGTTGAAGGAGATGGTTGATGAAGGCGCTGATGAAAATTGGGTTTTGTGGTGTTTCGCAGGTGATTGTGATTTCAATTCGGACCAACCACTACCTGAAGGGAGAGGCATCGTGGAATGTTACATGGGACACGCGGTTGGCGCGGTGGCTCCGTCGTCCTGATTATGCGTGGCTCCTCTTCGGAGCTTTTGGGAGTAAATATTGTTCTTATTATTGATGGTCTGGCGGTAGACGATTAAAAAGGATGAAGTGTTTTATGTTTGTGATAATTTTCTAAGAAACTCAATATTGAGATTGATACTGTTGAGTTACATTTTTTTTAGCATTTTTATGTTGTTGATAATAGAAAATCTGAACTTCGGAGAGAGAAAGAGAGACAGAGAAAGATTGCCGCCGGCGAAGCTCCGACCGTGACCAGCGCCCGACAGGGAGGCCCATGGCCTGACTTGATGATGAACGTTCGGTGGTTAATGTCCAGATCCCTAATTCCCTTTTCAATTCACTCTTTCATTTTCTGACCATTTTCAATCCCTAACATAGTATTTTAACATAAACCAAAAATTTTGCCACGTCATAATATTTTAATTTAAATAAATATTCCATCTAATCAAACAATTCACATCAGCATAAACACATCAGCTAAATTTAACGCCGTCTGAGAACACTTAATGGTTAGGGTAAAATTTGCTCATTTTTACAAAAAATATAACTCAATTGAGACAGTTACAAAAATGAGAACCCAACTGAAATTACCATACAAAATTGAAGACCAACTTAAAAAAAATAACTTTAAAAAAAATATGTACATGAAATGAATATATATTAAGTGTAGCATGAATTTATTATTGTTGGTATATTTTTGAAATGAAAAGGTGATTAACTGAAAGTCCTTTTGTGTCCTAAGATTACCACATAGTAGTGCCCCAACCACTTGCACATATTACAAGTTACATGTGTCAATGCTTATCACCGACCAATGTTCGTAATTCATTGCTCATTGTTTCGCCAATTTTCGTAATTCATATACCAATTTCTGTAGGCATGGTTTCGCCAATTCACATGGGAATCCCTAGTCATCATTGCTCATTGTCAATCAAAATTAAGGTAAGAAGTTAGGGATCAGATTCAAGTTTATGGTTAAAAGATATGTAAGAACATATGAATACATTGAGTGTAAGGTAGATGTGTTTATCATAATAAATCTTATAAATATATTTTTACTTTTTTGGTAGATAAAAATATTCAGTTATAAAGTTGTTAAAATTTTAAATCATGAGATATCTTAAATCATTGAATTATAGTTTTTCTTTTATAGTCATATTATACTATTACAAACCATTCAAATCAAATTTAGTACTATTGATCCGACAACCTTTTTAGTCATTAAATCATGTTCTAAAATATACTGATTATTGTTTTTTAAAATAAATTTATATAAAAATAAAATATAATTTTTTTAAAAACTGAGTTATGTTATTAAATTTAAATTTGATTTTTATGTATAATTATTTGATATATAAACAGCAATACATGTATATGTTTTAAAAAGTAACATTACTTTTATTTTTAAATATAACTATTTTGTACAAAACAATCTGGTCCAACTAAGCCATTTAGGTCACATGCCAAATTGATTGGGCCAAGAATGGTCTAATTCAATTTTGGTTGTTTGTTCTTGCACCTCTTCAAATTTCTTTCTGCACCCAGTGAATTGGATTTTGCTTTCCGGAAATACTTTTGGGAAGACACTCATCCTAAATGAAGATATCTAACACTTGTAAGAATATGTCATATTCGAATTACAAAAGTTGGAAATGAACTCGCGGATAGTCTTTAGAAATGAAAAGGATGGAGAGGAAATTTTTTTCTGAAGCTCTATAGTAAAATCTTCTGAAGAAAATGGAGGAACCAACATTCAACCCTGTAAAACTAACTGACATTGAATTTCTTTTCAAAACAAAAATTAACATGTTGTTTCTATGTATTGGTTCTAGTTCATCTTGCAACACATGAATCAAACTATAAAAGAACTTGTATTGTGTGTGACATTAGTCTATTAGTTGCACAGCTGCAATAGAAGGTATCTTGTCTCTCAGCTTCTGTGTTAAGGCAACACGAACTGTCGAAACCCCGGCTGCAGGTCCACTTAGCCGAACTTTCACAACATAATCTTTCATCTCAACAAGCTCTAATATTCCTCCCCCAGTGCCAACAAGGTATGGTCTAATTTCAGAAAGAACCTGAAAAATTAACAACCTTAAAGATCAGCAACAGCAAGTGCTCCCTAGTAATATCAATCCTACAACATGTCTACATTTGTTTTGATAGCTCTGTCTTCAATTATAGTTTTATCTTTTAAGCTATAATAAGTATTTATGCCACTACTCAAAAGATTGAAGAATGAGACAAGTTATTTGGCCTCAAAGATTTCATCAAGGTTTGCATATTATATCTATCCTTTGTGGTTAAGTTATATAAGTTGAGATGAAAATTAGTGATTCACTAAGCTTTTACACCTAACATAAAATTCATAGAAATTCTTTAAATTATGCAGTGCAAGAAGTTTTCCATACTTTTTCTACATTTTCTTCTGTTAACTCGAGGCCAGTCTCAGTGTCCATTATCTGTTCCACTTCCATGATTTCTGGTATCTTGTCTCTGAGGCGAGTTTCTATTCCCATTTTCAATGTCATGGTTGAGCTAGGACATGATCCACATGCCCCTTGTAGCTTGAGGACAACAACAAGACCATCTATCTCATGTAATGCCACATTCCCTCCATCAGCCATCAAGCCAGGCCTTACCTCATCCAAAACCTTCTCCACATTATCTTCTGTCAGTGGCAAGCCACAGATTGGGGAAACAACAAGTCCTGCAGCATAACAATGTGAGTGCCACAATAAACTATGATATCTATCTACTCACACACACCCTTTCCAACCTACTTTGCTGCATAATTGAAAATATTTTCAAAAAGTCACATCATCAAATAACATTGCTCACACTGTCAATCTCCATTTCTCTTTTCCCATTTGGCAAATTCAATAACCCTCAACACTGACCAACTTCAGACTTGTACCATTTGCAGGGAAACATTTATGATGTAAAATTCCAGTACTCATTTAGCATGATGGTAAAGTAACAATCAGTTTAATTATTCAAATTTCTAACTGATGAACCTCTTGAATAATGAATGCATTGAGAGTAACCAGCACCTGCTTTGTTTAGTCGAGCACGATCCGAGATAAGCCCAAAAAATTGCTTTATATTGATTTGATGACCCCTGATAAAAACAGTGTCTTTTGACGAAAGTCCTCTGGTATTTGCCACTGGATTCTAGAAAAACATAAAATTGAATCACATACCTACGAATTGAAACATGCCCATTACGAAACTAAAGAATCCTGGTATAAAACAAGAACAGAACATAGGAAATAACCGGAAGAAAGAACAAAGTAGAAAAGTACCTTAAGAGACAATAATCTGTGAGTTGGATAGAGCATTGCAATTGTTCTTGTCGCATTGAGGCTTTGAGTTGTTGAAGTTGAAAGTGCACCACCCAACATCTGAGTGTGAGTGGATAACACAGAAAACTACCATAAGAATTTGAGCAACATCTGAAACTGAAATTATTTTGGTTTATATAAAATGTTGTATCATTTGTGTTCAGTTTTGATATCAGTAGCGGAGAAGGAAAAGCTGATAGCTCGCGTTTCTTGATTGGCTGACATTGATTCTTTGTGGTGATAAAAGAAAATAATATAATAAAGTCTGTGGTCAGAACTGAACCATGCAAGCCAAATTCTGCACAATCTGGGAAGGATAAAACAGGAATTTCGATATCTGTGGGCTGCAGAACAAAAAGAGGAGGTGGAGGAAGTAACACCCCCAGAAATCAAATCGCAGAGCCCAAGACTGCAAATTTTGGATTGAATAAAGGTGCTTGTTATTCTCTCCCCTTGTTCACCCTTTTTATAAAATTATAATAAATTATCATTTTGGATAAATATTTTTTATCCTTTTAAAATGTGTAGAGTATAATATAGGGAAGACATTTAATTCATTAAGTAATTATTTTAATAGTTTGAATTTAATGTCCGAATATTGCTAAGACATTTATTTTTGTTTACGATCAGATATGTGATAACAAATATTAACTCTCACTTTTCATAATTTTTTTATTTTTAATTTATTTATAAGTCTCTCTACAAATATTATGGCTTATGGTATCGACATAAATATTACAAAGAGCACTTAAGATTAACAAAAAATAACGAGCAAAACATACAAATAAGGCCCACAAATAACTAATTTGACGAAGTTTTCAAAAAATAATATATATGTTTTCTTTTTAACTTTGAGACGCATAGAAGTATTTTATTAATCTTTTTTAAAATAAAAAATTAAATAAACCTTAGGTTTGAAAAAAAAATATTACCAAACCCGTCCATTTTAAATTAATAATCAATAAAGCAGCATTTTGGAAAATCTTACTTTATATAATTAATTTATAGCTTTTAGGGTATTTAGCTATCTTTTACAAAGTTGTTTATGTTCTTTATTCACATAAATGTGTTGTAGGTATTTAATAGAAATATTTTGGGATGCTTAAATGCTTTGATACATAAACCAAAATGATTAATTGGTTAAATATTTCAATTGGAAATTTATGAACTTATCTTTAATGTGAAATTTTTATTGTTTACAATTTTATATTATATTTTAAACCATCATACTCATACCGAATTATAAAATGCCTTTTAAAAACAAAATTTTATAACAAATCAAACCATAAATGTTAAATATATAAATATTTACTTTCAAAATTACAAAATTTATTATAATAATCACAAATACAAACATTATATGACTGGACGTCAAAATATATCATACACTATTAGTAATTTTTAATTGAAAAAATAATGAAAACTTAAAATAATACTATATACAATAAAGATTATTGTTAATTGATATGTTTTTTATAATATTTAAGTATATAGCACTAAAAATCATCTTATAATAAATTGGCTACTTATTAAACATTTTTCTACATTTCTAGTTCCTGTCATGTGTGTAACTCTAACTTTATATATATATATATATATATATATATATATATATATGATCATCTTCTAAAAATGAAAAATATTATTTTAATATAAATTTCACAAATATAAATATTTTAACTTTAAAAATAATTATTTATATAAGAAATTGTCTCCTATTAAAAGAAAAAAGTGGTATTTATAATATTTATATTACCGATGATAAAACTTTGATTTAGAAGATGCTGAAAGAAAAATCCAACATAAAGTAATTTAAGTCCAATCAGTATAAGAAATGTATCTTCCTGGGCCAGGACAAGGAAACAAAGACCAAAACAGATCAATCGAAAGAAAATGTTTAAAACGTACGAAGAAGCTTTTCAGAAATGCAGCAAACCCTAAACTTTACTTTTTCAACTACATTTCTTCCTTCCTCTTCAAACTATATCATGTTTCTCCACTCACCTACCTCATTAGTTACAAAACTATTTGTAAGAACTCATGTACTATTTTGTATTGTTAATCCTGCTTCACACAATACAAGTACCACGAAATTCTAAAAAACAAAGAAGATATGGTTGATTTAGGTCGTACATGAATTACATGACTGAGATAAATTTAACTGAGCATTAGTGTAAAATAAATATATTAAAATAAACTATATATTAAATTGGCTAGAAACCATGCAATTCGTGACAGTAATTTAGTAATTTATAATGTTAAGAATTATATTAGATCGGTTGGAATGGAATCGAACTAATTTGTGTATATTTTGATTAAAACAATAACTAATCTAATAATTTTTTTTTTACTTTTTGTGAAGTTACTTTTCTTTTGACTCTCTCACTTTTTTTTATTCTTTAATTCTTTTTTCTCTCATTTTCAAAACTCCATTTTTGAAGTCTTAACTTCTTTTTTTCAGCACAACCCTTTTACATTTGTCACCAATATTGGTCTGTCATGTTTCTACTATCGCGATGACACTAGTTTCATCCTCAACGTTATTGTCATCATTAGTTAATGTGCCTTACCACCATGAATGTCGTCATAGCTTCACACGTCATCATCAACAACATCCAAAAATGCGGCTCGCAAACTAGATCTACAATGACCCTCTACAACATCATTTGATAGCCATATTGCGAGCGACAAACCTGGAGCTAAAAAGCAACAAATCAATGCACCGTCAACCTTCATCGGAGTATACGCGAACATCATCGTTAGTCACCACGAACCATTACAGCAAATATGTCAATGATGCAGCAAGCCTCACAACATTTCACCAAAAAAAAGAGTGACAACACCTGCATCACATATTTGTACAAGTATACAAAAACCATTTTCTAAAAATGTTTTTTTTTCAATTTAGGTATTAGATCGCTTGTTTCAAAACCAATCTAATATGAATATATATTAGATTAACCAATCTAATATCTTTCTGACATATTACATTGACACATGCTAGATCGGTTGTGAAACCGATCTAATATGTGCTCTACATATAAAATACATATTTTTACATTAAAAATATTGTTGGAAATTCACGCATAAGTCTAAATCTCATAAGAAGTAAAAATGAAAAATTGAACAATATATAAAGATAAAAACTCAAAAACCTATCTTAAGTTGAAGGTGATATGAATTCTTTAAAAGATCCATCAAATTTATACTAGGTAATCAAATATTATTAATCCTTTTGTAGATTTGAAAAATTGAACACATTATTTACGAACTATTTTTTTAAATTATTGAATAAGATATGAGGTTAAGAAAGAAGTGATGATGTGTGCGTGAATGAGGAAGGTAGGTTGTGGAGCACTGAATTAGCCACAAAGGTCATGTCAAGTTAGTCACTAAACACACAAAGACAGACACTCTTCCTTTGGTATTGTCACTAAGGTTGGCCACAAGAAGAAGTAAGTGAAATGGAAGGAAATGAATTATATGCATTTTGTATGAAGCACAATCTCAGTCATGGAACAAGACTTGTAATTCATGAATATCTATCTCCTTTTGACCAAGAATAAAAGTAACCCTTATCCTATCCGACCAAAAGAGATGTTCCCCCCACCCCTCCTTTTCATCTTCATTTTCCAAATCAATAATGCAACTTATTATTTTTTATAACCTAATCTCATTTTACTCTTTCATATATATATATATATATATATATATATATGCTGATATATGCTGCAATGTGGAATCAAAAGGAAAGGTCTGATTAGACAGCAATATGGACTTTTTCCTTTTAAGTTTTTGTCTCTCCCTCTTCAAAATTTCATGTATGTGGCATCACCTAGCTCTTCATCTATGGGTACATATCATATAAGATATATTTATAAGAGATAAAAGGTTGTCCCAACTTATATATAGAGAATAAAAAAGAGAAAAAAAAAAGCAATAGGAGAAAGTCATATAAGTAATTATATTAAATCTTTTTATATCAACAAAGTGCAATAATTGAATTTTTTTTTCCTCAAAACAACGCACTTGAGAAAACAATTACAGGGGTAAAAAAAATTAAATTTTGCTTGTATATATTATAATATGAATATGGCATAAGTATAGATATTTACAAATACATTGTATATAAAATTATATTAAAGATAATAGTTAAGATCAACAAACAAAAAAACAATGTTAAAAGACTTCAAAAACAAACAAGGCCAATTATTTGACCAACGTTCACAATTTTATTTTATTTTTTTTGCAATTTGAAGACATACAGAAATATTTTGTTAATCTTGTTTTTAGCAAAAGAAAGTAAATATATCTTGGGTTTGAAAAAATAAAACTTTTTTTTTATCAAGCCCTTTTCATGTTAAATTAGTATCAATGCATTGCCGAAAGAACTAATGAAGAAAAACAAATTACTTACATTAACATCAATAAAGCATCCTTAATCTTAATAAACATTCCTTGACCCTCTAAACTGAATGGATCTATTCACCAAACACATGGACAGATTGTTGGGAGAAATTTTATTTTCTCAGCTCTTAAAAATGAACAGATTCCTTAAGAACAAAAGAACAATGCAATCAAAGTTTCAGATTCTTGTCTGTTGTTTCCTTCTTTCTAAATCACAATCCAACCTTTGATCAATGCTTCCTCCATGTGGTGATAAAACAACACCAACTTTATTGTGGATCTTCGCAACTCCAATAACATATATAATTACTCTTTAAATAGTAATATAATTTCACCCGTTCTCCCAATAAAAAAACACCAAACATGACAAAAAAATGAAACAAAAAAAGAAAGAATTTATCTTTCGGTTTGGCATGCCCTAAGGTTATGCATTACTACCTTTTCCCCCTGGAATTTTCTAGCAGAATCTGAATCAAATGATCAAAGAGATAACCAATAATTTGAATGAAAAAAAAAGGGTCAGAGCCAGTCTGTGAAAGAAAAGAGTGTCCTTGTATTGTAACGAATACAACCACTTTGTTCCTGATTTGATATTTTATGACACAATGAGGAATGACAAGGAAAGATAGAAATATTATTATTGTACATAGAATAATGTTGTGAACAATAATTGAGGATTAGGGTTTATAGAAGATTAAGAAGTGTGAATGCAAGCAGTGGAATAACGTGGGGATGAGGATATTATTATAAATGAAGAGAGGGTATTGGATCCAGAGAAGATAAGCCTTCATCCCAAAATGGAGAGATTCCTTTTGTCCTTT